CTACGTTCCCCTGGCATTTTCCACACATTCTGTCCAATGCTGACACGCTCTGATATTCGATATTTGCCTTTATCACATGTGCCCTCAATGCCTGATCTTGCGCTGCCGTAATTAGGCTTTCAGTCTCTTTCTTAAGGTCTCCCACTCTTAGCCAGCTCAAGGATTCACTACCAGCCACCTTTTTTGTCTGTCATATGTATTGCCCATGGGGCTCTTTGACCAGTCCTTCACTCTTTCCTCGTGCCTTCTTCTCTAACTTATAGTCATCAGGATGTTCCAATTCACTCCGGTTTCTCCCTCTCCATGCAGCCTTCAGTAGTCTTTCTTCACAATTTTGACTATGATAGTCGACAAGGCTAAGTTCCTCCAGCGTAACATGATCGTCCAAGCTGATCAGCCCTCGTCTTCCTTCTTTACGACTGATCGCATGAGGTATAGGCGGCTACCATTTGCTCTTGCGTGGAGAGCGTCTTGTATAATAAGCAATTTTCTGGTCTTTCGATCAAGATTCATTAGCTCAACCTTAGTCCACCTAACCACCCCACCACTGTAGCGCAACAGCGACACAGCCCACGAGTTGATAACTCTCACCATGTTCCCGCCATTGAGTTTTGACCTGATAACTTTCTTTACTCTTCTCTCGTACTACTTACTTAGCCTATCCTTCACTGACTCGTCTTCAAAATCATCCAACTCCAAAACTCCTAGGTACCTGTATCCGTTATCACTTTTTCCAATGCTTGTAGCCTCCTTCCAACTGGAAGTTCTATCTCCACACGTTTTACCATCTTACCACTCTTCATCACATCACCACAAACACAGCACATTTATTAATACGAAAGTCCATTCCAACATCATTGGTAAATATTCTAATGGTCTGCACAACAGAGTCAATTTTTCTTTCATCACTTCCATGCAATTTCACATCATCCATTAACAATAAATGATTAATTTTTCCCTCTTCCTTGCTGAGTTGGTTTCCAGCGGATGTCTCGTGTAAGAGACATGTGAGAGGGAACACCGCGATTATAACAGTAGTGGAGAAAGGGAATCACCCTGGAAAATTCCTCTCTTGATCGCTACTTCATGATTTGGTTCATTATTAGCTGTCAGTTGAGATTTCCACATCTTCATGCTCTCCTTAAGAATCAAATTGATGTTTCAGTAGCCCCCACCATTTCTAGTGCCTCCATCATCCAAAAATGAGGAACTGAGTCATATGCCTTTTTATGATCTAGCCAAGCCATAGCAAGATTGGTTCGTCTTTTCTTAGAGTACTGTAGTACTGCTTTTTCTATCATTAGTTGATCCTTGGTTCCCCTATTGTTAAGTTCTTACGACATCCCTTTTGTTCGTTTTTGGGAATAAATCCCTTCGTTCTAAGTGGTCATAGAGTTCTTTCGCTATTATTCCAGTGAGCAGCTTCCAAATTAGGGGTAAGCATATATTTGGGCGGTAGTCCCCTGCTAAATTTCCCTTATCCGGTTCCTTGATCACCAATACAGTTCGGCCTAGTACTATCCACTCAGGCACCCGCCCCTCATCAACACAGTCCTTCAATTGACTAGCTATTTTTCCATGCATGAGCTTCAGATTTATCAGCCAGATTATCAGATTGCAGATTATCTAGTCCGATGGCTTTCCAGTTGGGTAATTTTTCAACTGCCTCTCTGTCTGGTTTACAGTTATTATGAAATCCTCTTGAACCTCCACCTATTGGTCTTTTGCAAACCCTTTAACCATAATGCTTCCTTATTGTGTTCAACTGAGTTAGCCCAAAGCTCCCTCCAGAATAACTTACTTTCCTCTGCATTATTATTATTATTGACATTATTGTTTTGTTAATTTAACAGAGTGCAATTGCTCCTGTTATCACGAAATTCTTGGAGCAGTTATTGGTTTCCTTGTGTTGGTCATTGTTATCCTTTTAATTTACATCGTCACGAGGAGAAACAGAGGTGAATTAAACTAATTATGAAATTTTAGTTCCCACTGGCAATAATTTTAACTGCAACTGTTTCTTTCTTTTTTAAAATAATAATTGTCTAAGCTGTAACTTTTTTTGTTATTTCATAGGAGAGGGAGAAAAGAAACGGTAAGATCGCCTTATAATATCGATGAAATATAAAGCTTTGGCTATATGAACGCACCCCGATTTACATTGTATTTGAGAGGACATTTAATGAATTGTTTACTCCTTTAATCAGACGAGTGACGAACCGAATTCATGCATTTATAATGAACGCTTAACTATTTATTCCTATTCAAAGTAGATTGTAACGATTATTTCATACTGAGATTTCAGACCGGTTTCCTTTTTGGGCTCGCTGCGACCGGAGAAAGCTCTGGAGCCCCCGCTTTAACTCAAGATACGGCCCCAAAAATTACACAGAGTAATGTACTCATCATTTCCAACATTTACGCATAACTTGATTGGCTCTATGATGTAATTTTACGTCATTATGGCGTCATATTTTTGAATTTATTGGCAAAATCGAAATTCCATCAATTTTCCCCTCATGCGAAAACTGCTTAAACAGTAAGGTGTCTGACAAAGTTAATAATTTTTAACAAAAGCAGTGATGTCATGATGACATCAACCATCTTGGATCCGCCATTTTGAAATAATTAAATATATTCAATTTTACTTAACCCTCGGACGTCCAAAGAAAGCAAATTCATACCCCCGCCGCGGTACAAGGCCGGGAGGGGTTGATGGAGCCCCCCCTAGAGTTTCCCATTGATCTTCCCAACAAGATGAGGTATATTTTATGGGCGGTGGCGCTACTGGAGGTCTGTGACGTCACAAACAATGGTCACCATTTTGGCCGTCATCTTGGATTTTACCAAGAATTAGAAATCAGGCTAAAAACGCAAGAAATGGTAATTTTTTATGCTTGACATGTAAAATAACACATAAATAAACACTTTGCACCATTTTATACACAATCTTTACTATCATTGTTGAACGCAGTTGAGAAAACATGCATTTTTACTAAAAAGGGGCTTGACCACCTACTACGTATGACGTCATATCTCGTAACCATAGTAACTGACTATTACCAAACTTGTCTCAAAATGCGTGCGGATGATAAACGAATAGCTCCTGAAAACGTCAGGTTAAGAAAAGTCGCCAAGTTTGGTGTTGATAGCTTAAGGTGGCTCCCTAGAGTAAATTGGCCGTGGGCAGCCTGAGCACTAGTATGGCGCGAGCTTTAAAATTCGCGCGGCGTCCACGCAAAAATTAAAACAAACATGGCCTCTCAGTTTCGAAATATTCCAACCAAAAAACTTTATTAACTTTCTGTTGAAGCTCATTGTGCAAAAAGTTTGATTAGTGTAGGTCAAACATTATTTTATGACAGGAGACAATGTTACACCGGTTACAAGTCACTATCGATCTCCATAAGAGTAAATCGTACGTAAAAACAAAGCAGAAATTTTCCAAAGACATCAATTCTTTCGCTTCAAAAGTAGACAAACGTTAAATAGTCCAAGTAAATGGTGGGTGGAAACTTTACTTAGAAAACAAAGAAATAAGTACACTAACTCAGAAGGAAGCAATGTTGCTGTTTCTGGCCTTTGGGTCACGGTCAGTGGAAAGATCTGGAAGATCGAGCCAATTCCCGAACAAACACTGAAGATTGTCTTCATTGGCGGAGCTCCTCGGTCACTTTATTTCCCTTACATTTGAGTTGATTTAATTATTCTAGAAGTGGCTTTAAGACAAGATAACAGGGAGTGTAAACTTTTTTTGGTTTTGCCGACTCTATTACATTGTTTAAAAAACTTATCAGAAAAAAGTTTCCCACTTAACTTGCATCCTAATCGAAAGAACCTTTCCATCGACGAACCAACATCCTTGTATTTTTTCTTGTTTCAAACGTCCTTCAACACACATGCAAGATGCACTAGAAATGTTTTTGCACAACGAGAAATAATTTTTACTCACAGATTGATCCTTGAAGAAAGCAACAGTTGTCCGTCGAGACCTACGGTCTTGTACGTGTAGCTGAGGACATGATGTACGATTTATAGATCGGCGCCATCTTCTACAGCAGACTTTTAAAGAAAAACTTCGCCGTCGAAATTATCCCTAAAGAAGAACAAGGTTGAAACAGTATTCGGAAGTGGGCTGACATTTGAAGATCTTCAAAGAGTGTACAGCAGATTAGGAAGTGAAGGGCTTATTGCGATCCTTGCACAACCACCGTCTTCATCTCCGACGATCGCCATCCTCACGAGTGACCACCACGGTTCGAATTTTAACTACTATAGTTAAGTACTTCGAAGAAAACATCCTGTGTTAAGTATAAAATTGAATCAAAAATCTCTCCTTTTTCAACTGGCGATTCATCACCGTAATAATACTAATAAACAGCTTCAAAACAATGGCTTTCGTACTCTTCAAAGAAACCACATGTTTCCAGTAGCTTTGTGCATTATGCGCATGCGGGCGTGATGGCTCGCGCGTGTATTTTGCTCACACGACCCCGAATCACGCGTGTTTTTCGGATTTTTGTGACGTCAGCGCAGTTAATTAACTGTGAATTTCTCGCGTTTCCTTCGGTAAATTTTTTCAAAAATCGCCTTATTTCTTAACAGTCGCAGTATCTTTGTACTGTCATTTTTTTGTCAAAATCTGTAAGAGCTAAACTCCTCTATTAAGGAAAATTGCAAATTTCAAAACATTGGCAAAACCGTCTTATCGACCCCACGTTTTTTCCACTTTAAAATGTTAAGCAATATCGTTAATACAAAGTGGCAAAGTTTAAGGACAGTTTCACCGCGGGAAATTAGAAATATTAAGGAAAAATGGGCAAAAATGACAAAATTACTGCCTGTTTAAGGATGCGATGTTTCCATGGCAACGGCCTTAATCCAGAAAATGACACTTGATAAAGGAGTCTTCTTATATGGGTAACCTTAGCGGTTAATCTCGTGTACAAAATCGCAAAGACAAAGTAACTAGATTTCCTTCTGTAACGTATGCTTGATAGCTCGGATTGTTAGTAAATACTCTAGGGAGCCACCTTAAACACTTTAAATTTTAGCACCCACCCCCCGGTCTGGATAGAGTTAAATGTTAATGGTAGTCTTAACACTAGGCCGTTAAGTAAGAATTAAGAACCACTAAGTTTTACTTAACAAAAGATACGTGTGTGAAGGCCTAAGTAATTTCTCAATTTATTTTACTTTGCATCTCATTTAAGTCGGAAAAACTATTCAAGAAAAGTTCAAGTGACTTGAAAACCATCCTTGAGACCGTCGACTTTGCGAACTTGTAGTTTCTTGAGCTTTGAAAAAAGGCGAAGCATGCCAATCAATCTAAATAATAGTGAGCTTAAGATCCGACGACGTCGAGATTCTACGACGGCAGACTTGGTCGAGGGGGCTTGGGGTGAGGTCGCTGTCGCAGTGGCGCGAAAAATAGCATTAAGAAAGCTCGCGCGACGGCGGGTTGTTGTAGCCGCCTTTTCCTGTTGAAGTTTAGAAATAAATACAAGAGCGATGACTACTTTTAGAAAGGTTCGTGAATTGTTACTGACAAGTTTCGATGATGGCGACATTTCAGAAGATGAATTTTTACTGTTGAATGATGTCAACAGATCTAAAAAACCGGATTTTCCCTACCAGAATTACGAACATTTTAACCTCGAGAGGCTTGACGAAAAGATGAGTGACATAATCCATTGGACCTCAATTCAATGCCGAAACAAGTCTACGATATCATAATTGTTAATAAACACATCAATAAACACAAGAAAAAACTTGTAAAACTTACTGGGTTGCTTTCTTTGTCGAGTTGACCGAGTCCATGGCGATTAACGAGTCAAACTGTTTAGAGAAGGCAAACAAATTTAATTTAAATACCGTGTTTAAATCGTTTAAGTCGCTTAGAAATTCGACAAAAATGGTCTACTGAGAATAAACTGTTAACAGTGCTAAAGAATTTCGCTCAAAATGTGTTTAAATGGCATTATTTTGATCAAGTTTACTCACGTTTTACACGAGACGGCCGGCAGAATGGCCTTCTTCACGTCACAGACAAGGCCGCTACGGTGGGAAACTTCGCAACGACGGCAGCCGGAAGTCTTTCTAGCAGTAATTTCACTTCCGCTCGCCGTCACAGACGTCTGCCGTCGTCGGATCTTAAGCAGGCTAATGTTGCGTTGGAAACTAGCCTTAAGTTAACCTGAAGTAAAAAAGATAGGTTGTGTGTGAAGCTTCCTTTTACTTGAAGAATTTAAAATTTACTTGTCTTGAAATATTTCTTAGCTTATTTAGGCTCTAGTGTAAAGACTACCATTGTCTCGGTCAATTTAAAAATACAGTCGACTCCCGATAACTCGAACCCTCGCTAACTCGAGCCTCGCGCTAACTCGAACCAAAATCTATTTCCCCTAGATTTCCGTCATACACTCACTGTAATTTCACCCTCGGTAACTCGAACCCTCGATAACTCGAACTCCCGCTAACTCGAACCAATTTTCGTTTCCCCTCAGGTCATTTTCCATATAATTTTTCCCTAAATAACTCGAACCATGTTTTGAGTTTGAGCCCTTAAAAAGTTGGGAAAAAAGCTGTCTACTGACGTCCGAAACATTTTATTTTGGATTTCCTACTGACGTGTAGTAGGCGTATAGTTTACTAGTGTAGGCTGATGTTGATTGTCACAGGCTAACGTGAAGCAGCTTTTCTTCTCAAAACAGTAAAACGCATGCTCTATTTAGGCTATGTTTTGTTACGTTACGTTCGTTACGTTTTTATGATCTAGAAGTATATCTTTTAATTTTCACTTGACATTTCCACAATTAATGTGATTAAAATGTTTAAGCCGATACCAATTATCGTTTCCTTTCAGTTGTCAGCTGCCTTTTTGCATCAGTTTATGTCGTTTAGAAATTGTTCCTTATTTAGTCTACTTTTTGTAGTTAATCTAAGTAGATCGTATTCTTTCGTATTCTTTTGCTTCCAATTAGAACCTACGTGTACCACTACCAAAAACGACTACGTAGCAACTAACATCGCTACTACATTGAATTGTTATACACGCAAACGCTGTTGTAATGAATTATAAGGATCTATCGTTAAAACTGCTTTAAATCTATCCCGTGGAATTCGAATCATCTATTGCTTCACACCGTGTAACCCCTGAAACTTGTTGAGATTTGAGTATACTCAGCAGTTACAAGCCTAATTTCTCAAGGGATGACTGTTAATCCCAAGAGAAATTGAAAACAAAGCTTATGCTTTATTTTTGTGGGGAAAGCAAATTGCATTATGTTGCTCATGAAAGCCGTAAATTGAATAAGCTATATATCATTATTATTTATTCAAAATATTTCCCCGATTCTGTTTGGCTAAAAGCACACGCATAATTTACCATAACCAGCTACTGATGACCAAATTTGGAAGAATTTTGCGATAAATCTACCGATGACGTCAAAAGTGCAGCTTCCTTGCAGGTTAATGTACCGTTAACGGAGAAGACCTGGGGACAAGGTTGAGTTGTTTTGGTTGTAAAACAAAAATGGCGGACATTTCACTCGTTTCAAGATCGAGTAAGAACTAGGCGAAATAATAGCTAAAAACGTGGCAACAACAGCAAGAAGACAACTCGAAGGGCGACATCTGCTATTTGGAGAATATTTGCGGTACTGAACAACCCAAAACGGGCACTATCGAAGATGACCTTAACGTCGATGGAGGTAAGCATGTTTTAGCTATGTTCTTAAACTAGGGATTATTTTGAATGAATAATAAAACAATTATTGAATTCGGCTTTCGTATCGTATGAAGAATTATGGAGATCTCGTAGGGTGTTATCACCTTCCTCGATCTCCATAACTCTTAGCTTCATAAGATACTCAGCCTCATTCATAAATTGTTAATTATAAGACCGGCAACCAAATTTTCGATAACCGTATTTCCAGAGAGTAGGAATTCGCCACTTTAGAAACGAGAAGGGAACTGCAACCACAATGCATCCCGCAATAGTTTATCGCCGGAAAGTTAACTGGGCCCAGTTTCCCTTCTGGTTTCCAAAGTGTCGAATGGAATTTTTACATATAGGCTTACTACAAAACGAAACTTTGTTTAAAACAGTAGACGTTATGATCCAAATTTAGTGAAAGGGTAAAAAAGGACTGTTTTTCTTCGTCTCCCTTTTATATGTAGAATGACATATGAGGAGCATTCTGATCATAGAGAAAGCTATTACGTGAGTAATTATATCGTTTGGCTAGAATGTGGGTTTGATTTACAGATGTCAAGTTGCCTGTTATCAGCACCTTGGATCCTATATCTTTTTCTCCAACTTAACTCCTCCTTTTAAGCCTTCTTAATGGATCACGCAAAGAAGAGAGCTAAAAAGTCGTGTGTATGCAATGAGAATTAACTCTTGGACACACAAGAAAATCACGAAAATTCGAAACCGCAACCGGAAAAGAAAACTTTTAGTCAAATCGAGGAGGGTCGCACTAGTATTTACTAGTGGGAGTTAATTGTCGTTGTTTTGACACATTAAGAACTAAAGTAGGCCAGATACCAGCGAACATTATCTCTTCGTAGTCCGATCATTTGGCGTTGGATCGTTTTCCTCCTTTCCTAGTTTCAGGAGGATGGGAGAAATATAGAAAATAAAGTGCTTGGCTGCAAAAGACTGCATTTAGCTCGGAGAATAACAAACCTGTGACGGTACTTGCCTGGGTAGACTATAATTGTGTCGCCTGTAGCGAGTTCCCGTAAAAACGTTGAAATAGCGAAGGATTACAAGCTTATGAATTGCTCGCCCGTAGAAAGTTTTCGCAAAAACGTTAAAATGGCGAAAAGTAGTGGTAGCCTCGTCCGTCCACAACGAAAGCGCGAAGGTCAGAAAATTTCAACGATTGATTCAGGGCCTCTTCATATGAGCCCGGTTGACCGGGCTGGCCCGGTTTCCGAGATCTCGCCTCACCTCTAAATCCTTTGTAAAATTTTCGATGTGTTCATATGAGAGGGCGGGCTGGCTCGGTTCCCGAGATCTCGGTTTTTCCAACCGAGATCTCGGTAAGCGGGCTGGAAATTTTGCCATATGAACACTTCATCCCGGTTACCGGGATGAACGGTGGGATGAATTCTGGCGGCCCGGATGGCATCGTCTTGCATTGCTTGCTGTATTTTCCACATCATAAGCATCCCATTTGACTGCAGTGATACAGCTTTAAGAGTTATCGATGGTAAGATAGGCCCGAAATTTAAAATTCTTGTGTTTCGCTATGCTTGCTTTGTTTCCCAAATTTGGCGCCAGAACTCGTTCTCAGGATCTTTGACCTTTTCTCATCTCGGAAACCGGGCTGAAATTTCCCATATGAACCCAAGGCAAAATTCATCCCGGTAACCGAGCCAGCCCGGTCAACCGGGCTCATATGAAGAGGCCCTCAAATTGATCGTGTTTCAAATTGGTCACGTTTCGCTGACAAGTGCTAACACTTACCGCCGTGATTCCTATTGTTTAGCTCAAGTTTTCCAAAATCTGCCTGCCCCACCCAAGCAATACTGCGTCTTTGATGTTTTTTTGCGATTTTCAAAGTTTTTTCCGAATTGAAAACTTGGGGTCGCACTTGGCAATGTGTCCCGATGACAGATTTTTACCGCAAGGTAAACAAATTCTTCCAGAAATTTGCCAAGTGCGACCCATGCCTATGAAAATGAATAAAAGCGAATCTTCAGAAATTTCAACCACATTTAATACCAAGAATCTTTGTACGCTTTTTTTTCCGCCTCAAAATCCTTGAAAACACTGCAGCTAAAAACAAAATGAAAGCGTGGAATGTTATTAATCATATTTACCATTACAATTACATATATTGCTTGGACCTCGTGCTTTAGTCCGGACACTTTCAGGAGTCTCAAAATTTGACTATTCGGACAATGTTCTGTCCAAGAATTCATCCCAGATACAAACATTCACCAACTGGCGCTGCAGATGGATAAACTTAATGGTAGACTGTTGTTTATTGAGCGGAATCCAAAAAGAGCGCTTTTATAAAAAGATCATAGGTAAGGCGTTAACTTCAGCGATGACAGTTTTTGCTCATGTAAACGATTATATCTTGCTGGCCATTTTTAATTTTCAAAATCTGCTCAATACATAACACACTAGAGGTTTTGACCGATCATTTACTAATAAAATTACAGAGTTCTGTCTTCTTTTTGAGCAAACCTGGACAGAAAATCACGATCTCCTAACTGATTTAGTACAACTGTGGCTTTAAAGGATCACTGTAAAGAACGATCTACCAAATAGAAAACCATCCTCCTAATCTTCCATCATTTCAAAATGTATTTGCAAAATTTTATCTAAATTGTCTCTAGCCGAGACATAAGCGTTTCAAAAGATGCAACACAAGCAAAATTTTGTCTTATGAATTTATTCATAGAGCGGTGACGTGTTCCCCGCAGCCTTTTAAAAGACTCCCTATATTTCTTTGCTCGCTTTGTTTCGAACAATACTTTTGCTACTAAGAAAAAAGACTACGGTCCTCTGAATAAAGGGCTATTTTCTAATTTTAATTTTGCAGAACCACTGTTGGTATTGATCGAATATGTCCCTTATGGCGATCTCCTGGGTTACCTGAGAAAGAGCCGTGGATTAAATGACACTTATTACAATGACCCAGACATCAAGCCACAAACAAATCTGACGTCACAGCAACTGATGAAATTTGCTTGGCAAATTGCCGACGGAATGAGTTATCTTTCATCACGATCGGTAAGGATCTTAAACAACTTACAAGATGAAGCGGATTAAGCACTTGGGCACCAAATACGTCCTTAATTGTGTCAATAACAAAATGCTGGAATCTGTCCGATTTGACCTCTCCGACTTCCAGGGGCTTGTAATCGGACAGGCCAAATGGGACAGTAAACAACCAATGAAATTTAACCGAATCTAGCTAATGAAATTTAATTACATAGTTCATGATAACCGATCAGAATCAATGAAAAATGATGGCTTCTGTATAGGCAGGCTTTCCAGCTTATAATTTCAAATTGGCCTTGCGCGAAATTACACGCCCAGTTACTACCTGAATTGTACCCCACTCAGTCCTTTTACCATTACTAACCCTTCGTTTTACTGCCAAGAGACTTATAGAGATGGTCTTATTCAACTGAATCTTCTTCCACTAACTTACTTGCATGAATTTTCTCCTTAGTTTAAACCACTGAATGTTTCATTCTACGGTCATTGTAGTATTACTTACTTTGTAGTCTTGGAGAGGTTAATAAAAACAAATATAAGTAACTGGAATATGATCTTCTGGGTGAGTCTAGTGCTGACTGACATTTCGACCACCTGTGCGGTAGTCACCTTCAGAATCAAAGTGAATGGTATCACGTCAATTGATAGTATTGAAATAAGGTTAATGACCTGATTGGTGAATGAAGTTGTGATATTGTTTGTCTGTCAGTTATTGGCTAATATATAGATTTAGCCAGGGCTAAAAGCGAAGCCTCCGTTTCTATACTTATTGTAAAAGCAATCAAATTGAAGTAAAAACATGAACTCTAATCCAGAAAAAAAAAAATAGAACTCTTCACATCCCTAAGAACCTTCGGCATCAGACACCTTTAGAGGGAGGGACTAAATGATTAAGAAAAAATATCCCGCAAACAAACCTGAATTGAAAAAATTGCTGAATTGTAGGTCTCTTAAGTAGCAGCAATTTACAGGTTACCATTTCTAGCGTTGGTGTTTCTGTGTTTAAGGGAAGACCTAAAAGAAAAATCAGTTCGACTTAAAGACTTTTGTCTTCCCGTAAGCCCATTATATTTTCTTTTCTTTTCTTTTCTTATTTTAAACGGGCCCAGACGAACAGTTCTGTGTAGCCTTTACATTTATACCTCACAATAACTGAAAAAAAAAATTACCGTAAGGTGTATAATATTTTCTCTGAGGACAGACACAGGAAAGCAAACGATAACCTTTTTCGCTACTAATAACAATAATCAGTCTTTCACTACAAATATAAACGTTAATACAGCAACTTACAACTTTTTTTATAAAAAAAAAAGGACAAACACGGGCTCGAAAAGCCGGCGAGTCAGTCTGTTTTAGAATAGAGGAGAATTCTTTCCTTTTTTGGATAAGCTCACCTTCTTCAGTGAGAATATAAAGCCATAAAGAAACAACTGAAAACAAACGCAGTAAACTTAATTCAAGCGGTATTCAGGTGTATTCAGGGCAGAAGTTATGGAAAAAGAGCAGCACACTGCACACTGCAAAACTGAAGAAATTCTTGAATTCTACACACTGCAAAGTTCTTGAATGGCAAGTAACGAATGAGAAAATGAATAGCAATTCAATGTGGAACATGTACAAAAACAACCCTTCAGTTTTAATTCAAGAAAAGGCCCGTCTGAATGTTTCTAAAAATCTCACGATCTGTAGTCTCATGGTCGTTTTTTGAACTAATGTTATGAATGAACAATGCGAGATAAATAACTTAATTTTTTGAAATTTTTTGTTAAAAAAACCATAAGTTAATCCTTAAAAGCAAATCACGTAAGACAAATTAAATCGTTGTGTTCACGCAAGTTAAATCGAGCACATGGTAAAAAAATCAATTTCAAATGCACATTTTGTGGTTTTTCTTTCACGCCGATGTCAAAATGTAGAAAAAATTCCTTTTTAAAGACGTACTTTTCTTTGATCATAGCGTACGGAATGTACCTCAAGTGTCGTCAGAAACCTCGCTGCGTTGGTTGGTTCAAAACAAGCCAAGTGCTCCGATCCGCCGTATAGAAAACAAGGTTGAATTCTTCGAAAGACAATTTCATAGCGAAAAGCTTTCGTTTGTCCACAAAAAGGAAACTGAGCATTCTTTTGAACTTTCTCTTTCCATTTATATCTTTTATCGGCGTATTTTCAATCTTGAAATGCAAAACTTTAGTCTTGAAAACCACAACATCAAGAACGCGCGCCAGCCATTTTGTTGATGGATGACATTTACAAAGGTGTCAAATCCGTTTCTTCCCTCACCCCCTAAATGGTTGACATGACCATTCGACATATAACGGTGTAAGATTTTTATTTTCAGCATTATATGCCATGAGCGATTTATTTACATGCTTTTTCCTCTCGAAATCAGGCTGCAGGACAGTTTTCCTGAAATCACCCATAACCCCCTCAAAAGTCAAATGGTCAGCCGCTAAAATCCACCAAACACTTGGTCAGTTGACAGGTTCTGACTTGTCCATCATTTCTAAAGGCTTTTGAAACAATTGCTGGTTTCCACATGACGTCACTAAAATTCAAACTACAAAACTATCGATCCTACCGAGATTTTACTTTCATGATGTATTAGAGGAGCAGAAATATAAGTTTCATACAAATTTTCGCTTCAAAAAGGTTCTTGGTTTTGTGATAGAGTACGCTTGAATTTCTAAGCTTTTGCGTGACGAGTCATTTACATGACGGCCAAGGGAGCTGTCATGTAGGTTAAAAAAATGACTTATTTCAGGGAAACAGTTCATGATTAGAAAAAATATTACTTCAATGTTTATGAGTTCTTTGAAGAATAAATTCACGCTTTTGTAGCAAAACTCGGTAACAGATGTTTCTGTCTCTAGGGAGAGGGGAGGGATTTGTTTCTACTTACCCCTACCCGGAAAGTCCGTACGGACGGACGTACGGTGACGTCATAACCAAATTTTCTCGGATGGATGGTTTTCCAAATTTTATTACCCATGGTGCTCCGATGCGCGCGCTTCGCGCGCGCGGAGGCTCCGCTATGAAGACTCTAAGTGTAATTGGCGAGTTTTGATGCCCCTTTTGTCACGGTTACAATAGGAATTTTATTAATTGTTAGTCCAGTTGCCGTTTGTCCGATCATTTCTCTCCTTGTTAGTTTTGCTTGAGTTCGTCAATGAGTCATTTGTCTTGTAAGATGCCGTTCACTGTTGACTTCGATTCAGGGTTGTTTGTTCTAAGGTATGTACTACGAAACGAGACAAACTGTAGAAAAGGAAACTCTAATGATATCTTTTCAAGATCTGATCGATTTAATCAACAAAAAACTTGCAACAATTGCAGATTGCTGCGTGGGCGAAACTCGATGAGGCAAAAACCTGCAGAATTGACAGAAGAAGTGAAGCGCCAAAATGACTTCGTGTGGTTCTTTCAAGCACTAGACCCTCCGTAAATTAGTACCGGATCACAAAACGGTGTACCCGAATTTTCACTTAATATCGAGCACGAGTTTGTGTACTGAACTGCGGTCGAAAAAATGTCCATGGTGTTTCCCTGAGATATGTCCGACACAGAAAGCTTCTGATCGTGTGCAAACCTCTGCAGACCGTTACAGATTGTATGGAAACCAGGCTATATAATTTACATAGAGTAATTTATATTTTTTCACACTTTGGCTACATGTTTTGTAATTAAAGATCATTCACCGAGATCTCGCAGCTCGAAATGTGCTGGTTGGAGAAGGAGAAACTTGCAAAGTGACTGACTTTGGAATGGCCATAGACTTATATGGCGAAGATATTTATAGGAGGAAAACAAAGGTAAGTTGTGTGGGAACATTTGACAATTAACGTGCTTCGATTTAGGCTCTGAATTTCTACTACGTTGCCTGGCACAGTGATTTAGTACATTTTTTAAGAGCTGTGATTATAGTATAATTTTAATCGTCTCTGAAAAATGATAGTTAAACATCCCTGCTAGCAGAGGCCTGTTTTCCCCGCCGCAGGGAATTGAAAAAAAGTGTTGTGTCTAAAAATGGAATCCGTGAACGATATATGTGTAAGATTTCCTTAGAAAACCCTTTACAAAATGTCTTAATGGTCAGCCCTGAGTAAACAGGGAAAAGTAAGTGATGCTTCTTATAGCAATCGACAACGTTTCTTTGAAGTTTTCAAGTACCATAGCCACATTACGAAGAATCAACCAAATTGAAAACAGAAATTTTGTGATGCTTTATCTTTTAACCAATATTTAACCCCCTTTTTTTAAAATTTCTAGAGTCGTCCGCTGCCGTTAAAATGGACAGCTTATGAGGCTCTGCACAATCGAAGATATACAATTAAAAGCGATGTGTACGTAAAATTAATATTCTTTATACCAAAGTAGAATTCTTTTTTTGTAACCCGAAAAATAAGCTGCCAAAATTTGGTGATCATCTGGAGGCTATAAGGCTCCTAAGAAATCCGTGGTTTAAGGTTTTCTGTGTGTATTCGATACTTTGATTTTTTAGCATGTGTGTATGCACGTATATGTACGGTCTATTAACAAACGAACGGAGGTAAAAACTCGCTGGATTGGTTTATTAATAATTCTTAGTTCATTTGCAACACTTAATAAATAGCTATATAGAAAGGTTATAGATTATCAAAGATTTCTCTTAAGAGATAATGATGTTCTATAGCAAAAATGGCAAAGATTTCACCAAAAATATAAAACTATACGAGCTCTAGTTTTGAAATAAAGAAAATTGAAGTCAAGCAGATAAATTTTAGAAAGTTTTGTACTGAAGTACAGGTAATAAATTATTATATGAAAGGACAAAATTCCCTAACAAAATAATGACAAAACTTTACATTACGCGATTATTGATTGACTTCAAATTTCCCGGGCATTCAAGTGTTTTTAATCAGTTACATTAAGTAAGTGTTATCCTAGAGCCTTAATAGACCTACTCAGGCCACTTGAAGCATGACTATACCTAATTAAATATTCATATTTTGTTCAACGAAAAAACACGTGAGACACGCTTTTAAATAACACGTGACATTGCTTTGTCAATTACGTCACAAAAAACGTTTTCCTATACGGGGAAGGGTTGCAAACCTTAATCAAAATGTTACATAAACAGTGTAAATCGTAAAATGGTCTTGTATGATTGGAAATGTTATTTATCCTTTTCCGATTTCCCTTTGTAACTCATTTTTATGTCAGTTTCTTTGCGTAAATCGCGCTCAAGATTCGACTTTTTAGTTTTTGAAATGCAATAATTCCGCTAATACGAGACATATGCAAATTTCCTCACAGCCCTTTTTAGGTCTTTTATCTGTCAATCAGATGCAGTAAAAAGGAAGTGAATATTTAACGACGCGAAAGGGCTGGAGCTTCAGCAGTAAACTCGAAACCTCTGAGTTCGAGAGCAAAGAACTTAAGCGCCTTTTGAAATTCGATAAAATAAAATCTTTTATAAGGTAATTTAGTCTTTTAGCTTTAATTTGATAAATAACTTGCCTTTGTAGCGAAAATACTCGCGCGACTAGAATTTTTTTCTGTGGGCACCTCGTTTTCCTTTACCGAGACCTTAAACTATTTATTTACGTTTCAGACCAGAAAAATGCTATGTTACAATTCTACTATTTTTTTGATTTTTACCATAATTAGCGTTCTGATTTATATCATTTTTCTCGTTTTTAATTAGATGGAGTTATGGAATTGTTCTATACGAGATTTTTACAGTAGGTATGAATGCCATAAAACTTGTAGGTGGCTTTTAACTTGTCGCATATCGGGACTGGAAAACGAAAATAGACAATCAATAATATACTTTCTAACCGTGTTTTTAGGTGGTTTGCCCTATCCAAGGAAGCGTGGCAAGGACCTTGCTCCTTTGCTTCGTCAGGGATACAGGATGCCTAAACCACAGCACGTGGATGAGAAATTGTACATAAAAAATTTAAGTAGAACGATTTTATTTTCTGCATTTTCCTGTATGTAAATAGAAAATTGCTTTCTATTGAAATCATTAACCATGCATTTCTTTTTTAGTACGATATAGCACAACCCTTTATATGATAGTGAAATATTGCGTGAGGGTAGTGAACTAAGCGACTAGATCAGTCAAGCTCTGTCGCAGTATTGTTCCCATTAACCCTTTTTTATCGTTTCCTTACTGCCACAAAAATGTAATGCTCTCAAAAAATCTCCTGTATACAAGGTTGTTAAGCTGATGAACTATTTTATACATCCTTGCCCACTTTTAATGGTGAATAAATTTTTCCCTCCAGTAATAGACCACACAAACATTTGACCACGGCAACACATAACATCCTCTATATAATTGTCCTAGCTAGGGCAACACTGAAATTGCCCTAGGCCCGGTACTCGAAAGGCCTATTACGTAGCGGGATAATAGCTTTCAATCGACAATTCCTATTTATTTTCCTATAGACTGTTAGAGTATCATTTTGTGTCATTTTGTGTTATCATAAGCTCCGGTCGCATATTCTTGGAAGAGGAAACTTTGCCTAAACTCTGGGTTAATATTTAACCATCTTTAGAGGAACTTGCATGAGCCCTGGAGATCGGACGAACTTCCTGAAGACCTTTCTTTGTCACAGGGCTCTCAGGAAGCGTTGGTATTTGGCACAAGGTCGATGTCCGAAGCTTGTAATATCATGATCCACCCCTTCATTAGGGTGTGAATATAGCATAACCCATCTATTTTTGGTACACTTAACAGCTCGCCCAATCTACCGCTACCTCAAGGTGCCCAATTTGATCATGGTCTTTCGGAGAATTAAGATTGGAAGTTCTTATATTTTTCAGGTATCAAATTATGATGAACTGTTGGAAAAAAGAATGGGAAGATAGGCCGTCATTTGATGCTTTAAGAACGCAACTGAAGGACATGGAAAATCAGCATACGGTAAACTAGGATATCTGTTACTCATGATGGAATTTATCGCGCTTCGACTGGATCATATTCGCTTTTGTAACTGTCTGATTGTTTTAGACCACTCAATAGCGCATAACCGACTTAGTTTTTGAATTTTTCTATCTTCAGAAACTGATCAACATGGATATTTACGAAGATGAGTTGTATGAAGTGGTCGACGATTGGGATTCATAAACGAGTTTTCATAACCAGTAACCTAAACTGGACATAACTTTACGATTTTACATTAGAGTGCGAATTCATCTAAGAGCCTTCGACGCGTTTCAAATTAAACTTGGAAAAAATTGGCTGGTAACTGATAACGTCGTCGGAAGTCTGTTTTGTACAAACGTGATCCTAGAATTGCTCATTTTCTCGTTACTAGCTGAAGACCCGATTTCCAGCAGAATAATACATGTGTCAAGGACAAAATTAAGTATTTTAATCGATTTCCAAATCACTGGCTTAACATTGACTTGAATAGGTCTTGCTATGATGCTACAAAAACGAAAAAGATAAGATAAAAAAATGTATATATACGCCACAGTTTTTGCATTAATCTTCAGAAAATGGTATTCCTTACAACTTGTACTATAATATAAACCTAATTGAATTTTTTAACAATGCTATTGCACGTGAGGAGTTAAAGCGACATTTGTTGGCTTGACACTAGAAGCGAAGTTAGTCGCAAGTAAGCACTTGATTCAAGTGCACTTGGAAATCTTATGTCGCTCTGCAGAAAACATGGCTTCACACTTGTTGACAAAGTATATTACTTGAAGTAAAGGCAGTCAGTACTTGTCCTCACACTAGAGCTTCAAGTATAATGTAAGTGTACTTGGAACCTACTTTGAGTGTGAAGGAGTGAAATGTACCTACTTATAAACTTTACTTGGTGACCTTGGAAACGTTCGTAGTTCAAGGATGCCGAAGTTCGCCGACAAGTATCGGCTACACCACACTTGAGAACACACTCGACCAATAAGAAATGGAAACCATGTGCACGATGTGCAAGTGCAGCGGTTCCAAAATTCTAATGAACGGAGAGTTGACAGCTTTAACAATATACTTCGTCGACAAATGTGAAGCCATGTTTTCTATAGAGCAGCGTAGGATTTCAAAGTGCACTTGAATTAATCAAGTGCTTACTTGAAACATACTTAGCTCCTAGTGCGAAGCCAAGTTATCTCTCCGTTCATTAGAATCTTGGAACCTCTGCACGTGCGCATCGTGCACATGGTCAAGTCTAGTCTCAAATGTGGTGCGGCCCATACTTGGCGCGAACTTCGGCTTCTTTGAACCACGAACTTTTCCGTGGTCACCAAGTAAAGTTGAAGTAGGTTCCAAGTACAGTTACATTGTAATTAAAGCTCTAGTGTGAAGCCAACAAATAATAAGTTCAAACTAAACTTTCTAGTTCCATTGTTCCCTTAAATTATTCATAAACTGTGTACAATTAAGAGGTATCTCATTAACTTTGAAACTTCATACATACTTTTTCAATAAACAGGACAAGGACATCTAGTAGGCGTCTGAGGTTATCATTTTATAAGACCAGGGGAATAGTTCTGTGACAAAATTTGCTTGGGAGACAAATTTATATAAGGACTATTGGACACATGAAACAATGATAAAATTTCATGATAAAATTTAACATTCGTAGGGCATTCTACGAAGGTATGTGCCAGCGAATCAGGAATCTTAAACTGAGTACAAAGATCATCATTTCTGATTTTTAATTTCTTAAGTTCGTTATTGGTTACTAAAATTTTCTAGAGAATTTTTTAACCAAATTTTCTTAATTCATTGTCTTTTGTCGATTTAAGGATAGAAGCTAGACCAGCGTTTAACAGCAGACTATGCCCAGTAGTTTCACTTTCCCGGGAAAAATTTGTAATAATCTTTACATCTCAATTTAGTCAAAGGGAGACAGTGCTCTATTATCAGACAAGTAGAACACCACCCGCTCATTCTTGAGCTTTTTTCTTCAAGTAAAAAGGAATCGCAGCAATAAGTTTAACGAAAGATGACCACAATTGTGCAACTGACCCGTGCACGTATTCATTATATTTAATTCCTTATAGCTCGGTTTGCCAAGTAATAGTAAGCCACAACAAAGCAGATAAGCTAGCTGAAAACCATGGAAGTCAGTAGTTAATAAAATGTTGCATCACAATAGCTACACTAAAATAGTATTACCTTGCTAGGTACAATGTAATGTAATTTCGATTTGTAATCTGAGTAACTTACAATAAATTCAGTTGTAGTACAATTAGTGCAACATTGGTGATTAAAATAAAGGCATCTCAATACTTTCTATTAATATTCTCTTTCTTCATATCCTTGTAAAGAGAATCTCGGCCTGTTTTTATACGCGAATCTGAATTTGCAATCATCTTAGATTCTCAATGATTAAATTACATTTCAGCTGTTTGTTAAGGCTATATGTTATAGCCCCCTAGTAGCGAAAAGCGCGGGCTTTTTGGCGGCAAAAAAGGATTAACGTCTAGCTTTTAACCAGCAAAATTTTTTTTGTTCTCGATATTTTTGACCAACTAGTTGGATTTTACTAAAACAATTATTCCTCTCGCACTCATGGCCTCAGAGCCCATTCGGGCTCGAGGAATAATTGTTAAATAGTATCCACACTTGAAATGCATAGAAGTGTTGTTGTCAGGTTTCAGGTTTCACACCCTTTGAGCCAAAGCAGTGAAATCTAAATGAAAGATATCGTTGATGTTGGTGTGTGCATGATAGGCTCGTTTATATTTTTTTTTTTACGATGCAGTTACTTTGTCATTAAAAGGGCTGTGTCACGACTGTCTAGAATCATTTTGTTACTATTGCCAATTGCAAGTCCTTATTCGCAATGGAACTTGAATTTAGGAAAGAAATTAGTTGCAAATGGCACACTGCTTCGTGTTACATCAAAGTAACAGACAAAAAAATGATCTTTGAAAAACTGTAAGGATAACAAGTTTTCAAAAATTCACAATTGCACTCCGTCTCAGTCGTCACTCGTGCCTCCTATATTGTATATGCTGTGTTATTTATATTTTCTTTTAATATTCTGAGTAGTTATTTTAATGTTTCACTCAATTTGGTGACTGTTCCCAATGTTCAAATTTTGATATATTTCGTGACACAGCTCCTTTATTCGCCGCCGCCTGCTGCTGGTCTTCATCAGGCAATGGTGCCGATTCATTAACTGGGCTGGACTATTACTTAGTACCACCGTGGTAGTCTGTGATTATTGTGGAACGAGTCGTGTTCGCGGCTGGTAGATGTTGATTCTAAAAATTGTTGGCAGCGTTATAGCCAGTAGCTATACGACGCTTTTGACTCACACTACTCTCAAAGCAAAAAGTTTAACATGGTATTTACAATCGCCGATCGAAACAGCCTATTACTAAAACGACCATTACACATAAGCAAAAGATAATTTATCCTCTGTTGTTGTCTCTAAAGGTTTCCTTATTCGTTAGTATAGTAAATGTCGCGAAATCCAAGAAACAGTCAGCTAATAAAGAACCCAGCCTTGAAATTAAATCTACAGCTGTTCTGCCTTATAGGACGAATGATTATTTGAGGCCGCTCTCCGTCATTTCCTCCAACAACATGGCAAGCCGCCTGTCTTCAATTCCAATACAACAGTTGGATGACGCTATTTAAGTGTTATCTAAGGATGCTATTGACCATCGAAAACAAGATTAACTAGGTTGTAATTTTCCTTAAGAATGCGGTAAAGTATTCCGCTCTGGGACAAGGTACATTAATTTTATTTTCCGACACTATCCCTGATACTCTCGTAAGGCAAGAGGAAATCAACAAACGACCCAACCCTAAATTGATAAGGAACTACGGTTCTAGAATCCCAACTCTAAGTGTACAAAAATTTTAGAATGGACTGGTTTACGTATGCCTAAAATCAGCCAATACCGCAACCGATCGGTATGCCAGACAGCTGAAGGAATAGTTTCTAACACAAACAATGCTAATGATGTAAAGAATCGAAACCCACCAACGATAAGTTTGGTTCGCAATGCTCCAATCAAAAGAAACTATGGTACTTCCAATGGCGGCCATATCTATTTTGGTGTTCCAAAACAATGGAACATGGGCCATGTTACATTGTTGCCCGCTTTCGGGAGTTGAACCCTCTTTATTTTGTTCTAATATGTTTGCATAGATGCTGGCCACATGAGTTAAAACTTTGTATGGTCTGCTCAGTAAATTGTCAAAGAAGATCATAATAGGACTATTACTAGGACCTCTTGGTCGACATAATCACCTCATGAAGACCAGTAGCACATGTACAGAGGGTTGTCCAATACTGTCAACGAGACTCTAGTCGTATACCCTTGCTTTCCAATAGAAAACCGGGGCCCAGTAGTTTGAAAGCCGATTAGCGCTAACTCGGGGCTAAATTTTAATCCAGGTTTTTTTTTCTTTTGTTCAAAAGCATTTTCTCGCATCATTTTCTTTACTTTTTAAGGAGCATCCAATCACAAAGGTATAGACAAAAAGAATTAAACTGAGTTTGCCGTTAAGCTTTAACATCTGAATTCAAATTTCTCAATATCCCTGGGTTATCTTAACCCAGCTTTGAACAACTGGGCCCGGGAGTCTAGTGGTGAAAAGGAGGAAAGTCCTACCTAGACACGAATAGATTCCACTGGGCAATCACATTTTCTATTAGTGCGATTCTTAGAATCCCAGTCATGTTGTATGGGATGCTTAACAAGGTTTCCATTGGACGCGAGTAGATTCCACTCGAGATCTACATTTTTTGTTCGTGAAAGAAAAAAAACAACAAATCCCCTAACCAAATCCA